TCTCTCTCTGGAACATCATTCCCCTAGAGATTAGAACGGCCCCCATTCTAATACACTTCTGGAAGGAGCTGAAGACCTGGTTCTGCCAGTGGGCCTGGGGAACCCAGAGTGAGATGGAGCCCATTAAATGGCTTGTGTGATCTGGCCTGGATAAATTATCCCAAAGTTAATTCAGAAGGAGCAAGTTATAGTCTATGAAAATGAAGAATTAACTATTTCTCTGTTTGTTTCAGAGAGGTATCCACTTAATGTCTTCTGGTATTCTGAAGAGAGAAAGAAACTCAAAAGTTCACAAAATAAGTTTCGGTGCTTTATTTCAAACATAAACAAATTAAAAAGTGTAAAGAACAAAGCAAAAAATCCATGTTAGTTCTCTTAGCATAGAAAGTAGTTCTATATTTCTGAATATAAAGTTCTTTACTCAAGTTGTGAGCTCTACACAAATAGCCAGTCCAACTCTTGTAGAAAACCAAAGATCTTAGGAACAGATATTAGAACAGTGAGACAGAGAAATTTTAACCATGATGGTGATAGTGAAGTTCCTTTGATTTTTTTATTATGGCACAGGTCATGTTATATCTCTTTGTAAATTGGAGTAAATTGGCTTGATGGTTGGGTTGCATCATACAAAATTAAACTTGCTGATTGGTCAGTTTTCTTTAGCCCACACCTAGAAACTTTTGAAATATCTGGTGACTGCTATTGGTTCATCTGATAAAGTTGTTGCTTCTCCTCTAAGACTGTCCATGGGTCTTTTGGGTTGAAGTTGATTTCCTCTAGCTCATCATCTGAAATCAGATGTGCATGTTGTTTTGTTATCTCCTTATTAATTTACTATCAATTTGAAATTTGAGTTACTCTATTAGACTCACAATCATATTTTCTTTAGTTGTGTAAATTCAGCTCTAAACTGTAACTATACCCTACAAGCCTGATCCAATGTTCTAATTTTCTATCTTCTTTTTCTAACACAAAGCAACAATCAATATATTTGTAGGACTACCTCTCTCCCAAATGCTGCCATGGTGTTTTGGTGAGGTCCAAATGTGGTTACATTTTCAAGTCACCCAGGAAATTAGTTACGCTGCAACATGTTGATATTAATGTGATTTCTTTGACTCCCAAGTGTAATTTTTTTACTTTATTTCACCAAATAATCGTATCTCAAAGCCAGATAGCCAGAGATAAAACCTTTTGCTCATCTGGACTGACTGAAACACCATATATAGAAATATATTTTCTATATCAGTGGTGGGTTCCTACCAGTTTAGACTGATTTGGCAGAACCGGTAGTGGTTTGGTGGTCTGGGTCACTGGAACCAGCAGTGACCCAGGTTTGCCACGCCTCCAAACCAGTTCTCCAGGTGGCAGAATAGGCAGCGCCATCTTGTTTTTCACTTGTTTATTTTTATTGCACTGTGCATGCGCTCACAGAGCACATCAAGTGTGCAGTGTGCCCACGAGTAAACCGGCAGTAGTGCCTGCCAGAACCCACCCATTTTATATGGTTATATATCGATTTTCTATATGGTTACAGAAAATACGTAGAGGCAGATTCATTCAATGAAGATGGAGGAGGGGTTTCTATGGAGATTCTCTGTCATCCATGTCATGGTTGTCCCAAAGGTGCTTTTCCAAAAGGCAACTGAACTTTATTGGTTTTTTTCCTTTGATAACATTTCACTTCTCAGAAGTTTCTTCAGTTCTATGGAGGAAGGGTTTTTCTTTTTCATCTGATTTTTCAGTTTGGGAGAAAAGGAGAATGATATTTGTGTGGTTTACAAATTTCTGTTGAGAATACTTGCAGGCATACATTTTTCCTTTCTTTTTGAAAACAAACCCACATTTTTCTATCTTTTTCAGTTCATATTTATACATTTATATATTAAATTTATATGCCACTTATCATATTATTCAAAACGGCTCTAGGTGACTCTTTTTCTATTTTGTAGAATTATCTTGGTGGAATGACTAGGATCATAGATTTCAATTTTTTTTCTTATACTATTTTACTTTATGATTGTGTTATTTAATTTTTAAAATAGGGTGTCAACTCTGAAGCTAGTTGTCAGGGTTCCAAGTAATACACCCATTGCAAATAGAACTCTAAGGCACAGATTGGTGGAATTCCAACTCTGAGAGTTCCACCTCATTAAAAAATGAAAGTTTCCTGTTCTCTTAAACAATAAGTCACATTGTCCAATCTGGGTGCTGGCTGGTTGCCTGGTTACTTCTCTCCTCCTCCTCTGGCCAGCCAGCAGTTGGAATGTCCTTGGATTATAAGAGAACTATTTTGTTTTTGCTACAAAATTCCAATTATCTCTACACCCCCCTCAGCTTCAGGCTGTGTCAAACCTGAAGCCATATAAAGAAAAAGCCCTATAGAAAAAGCTACAGAAAAGAAAATGGCCACAGCCAGGTCAACTTTAGGTTTGACACTAGCCTGACTGAGGCTATCTTAGAGGCTTCAATGTTGCCACAATGGGGCTGAGGGATAGGGAGGGGAAATAGAGATAGCTGGGGTTTTGTAGCCAAAACAAAATACATACCCTGAGAACCAAGGACATTCCCACAGATGGCTGAGGAGAGGAGGAGTGAAGTTTCCAAGCAACCGGACAGCACCATGTGATTAGATCATGTGACTGATTGTTGGGAAAAGGGGGGAAGAACTTTTACTTTTAATTAGGTAAAAACCATGGGAACTTTTAGAGTCGATTTTCACCAGCCTGTGCCAATATGATCTATCCAATAAACGTGTTCTTTCAGGAAACTGCTTGCCTTGGAGTTCTGTTTGCTATGTATTACTTGAAACCCTGACATAGGGTTTATTTAAATTGGGTACTTGTAGAGAACTGAAGATCTCTCTGCTAAAAGTGGAATTGACAGTTGTGGTGAAATGAAGATCCAGCAAGTAGATCAGCTCTTTGTAATTCTTCTTCGAACAATTCTTGGACCAGAAAGTACTACAGTTAAGTCACTCATACACTGGCCATCTCCCAAATGAATTATGGTAATGCACCCTACATTGGACTGCCCTTGAAGAGTATTAGGAAGTTTCAGTTAGTACCAAATGCAGCAGCACCAGCAGTTATCTTCATACTATGCCTAGATCTGTGCATGTTGCACCTCTTTCCACAAACCACATTGGTTACAAATTTGCTTCCAAGTCCAATTCAGGATGCTGCTGATAACTTATAAGGCCCTACCCTATTATTTAGGGACTGCCTCTTATCAGTGTTATCTATCCCTATCATCAAGCCCAACAGAAGAGGCTTGTGGTCGCTTCTATTAGCTGAGAGAATGCTGTCTGTCAGGATCCAGGTGTAGTTCTTCTCTTCTGCTGCACCTGCCCCATGGAACATCATTCCCCCAGAAGTCAGACTAGCTCCAACCTTGATGGCTTTCTGGAAGGACCTGAAGACCCAGCTGCAGCATTTAGGCTGAAGATCAGAGGGAAACCATAAAATGGCTGAATTGTTCAGGGAACTGTAATGTATATCTTTGTTTTGATGTTTGCATTGTGTTGGGGAGAGAGGTTTGCTACTGTTTATATTTTCATTTTAAGCTGCTCATAGTCATGAATGTGAGTTTGGTGGCTGTGTGAATTGAATAAACAAAGAAACCAACAACAAACCTAGGACAATCTGATGACATTTGGGTTGCTTAAGTAACAGGAATTGAGTACAATTTGTTGCTACATTAAGCTATCCAGGACTAATAAATATATTTGCCCAGATGTGTAAACCATACAATAATCAACCGATACACTGGATTTATTCTACTATTTCATCAGTTGGTAATAACATATGGAAGCATACAAGATGTTTAGAATAATACCGTGTAACTCTGAGTCTACTAAATATCTGAGGATATTTATTCTAGTTGGATAAGCCAGATAAAAGAGAATTTACTTGTGGGTTTCTCAGGGAAATAAATATAGTAAAATGAATTGACCAAATTAATCAAGTTTAATTTACGTACCAATAAATTTAATAAAGAAATGTTATTCATTTATTTTTTTCAAAGAAAGTAACCAGTCTTAAGTTAAGAACCTGTAAGTAGTAAAAGGAGGTGCAATATAATCTTACTTGCAAGATTCTGTTTATAGCTAATTTCAATGAAGTAGCTTAGCCTTCTTGAATTGATGTCTTAGTCTGAACTACCAGAGGGGCTATTATAAAAGAGATGATCTTTAGCAGCTTTTTTAATCTGTTTATCTGTTTATCTCTTATTGACAGAGCCAATATTGTTGATATATAGTCAGAAAACCTGAATACTACAAACAATAATTTTAGATAAAGTATTGTGACATCATAGTTAACTCCTATTCAATTGAATCATGTGAATATTTCATAAATCATTTGGAATAAGTTTAGAGCTGGAATGAATTGAGCTTGTTGGAATTAACTTACTAAGTGTATATTTTGGATTTCACACAGTATTTACGTAAACAGAATATAACCCGGAACATTCAGATTGTAAAATCTTAGAAGGAACAAAAAAAAACACCCACACTGCAATTAGGCCCCCGAGATCATTGTTTGCACATGCTTGTGATTTGTACATGTTTTATGAAAGCCATTCCTAATGCAATAATTGTTTTATCTTAATTTCATAAATGATAACAATCGTCTATTACAAAATAAGCACTATTAATCTCCATAAGAATGAAAGAAAAATTTGTTCACCTTTATCTATTTTTATTTATGCCAACTAGAATGAGTCAGACAACAAAATTAAAACTTTTCAAATTCTGCAATTTATTTTGTAAATCAACAGAGGTATAATAAATGTGTAAGTTAGATACAGATAAGTAAGTATAGTATATTATGTGTAGTATAACTACACATAATATACATATGGATTGTTGTAGAAATCACAAACTGGTAATAGAAAAATAGAAAATAAAACCGAGGAAAACTAGAACTTTGTCCATCCATCTCAAAAATGATTTTCTTTGGAAAGGTTTGTTTGCATTTTGGATTCACTGAGGATTCTCTTACATTAGATTTTAGGCACTCTCAAATTGGGAGTGCCTAAAATCTAATGTAAATCTAAAATTAAAGAGGAATAGAATATGAAAAGGGAAATGAGTTGAGTGGGGAATCATAGCAGTATATAGTTTATACTGTATAATATACTATATCATATACTATATCAGTATATCAGACTTGTAAGTTTCTGTTACTATAGCCAATCTCAATAAAAACTGTAGACATCCTGTGAAAGTGACTTTATGGCTTGATCTATCTTGTAGGGCTAATAGTTGATTGTGAGGATCTCCACTGCATTGGAAGGTTATATAATCTTTTTATATTTTTTTGTAGTCCTGGGTATTTAATATTAGCAATTTTGCTTGTCCGAATATGATTCTTATTGTGTCCTGTATGATTGTTGTTGTAGTTGAATACTTGATTAGCATGTGTTGCTTTATGATGCACCTGATTTGGAAATTTGTCACTGTTTTCTTTGCTGATGGTAACATCCAGGGAGGGTAGTTTGTTATTGTTCTATTTTACTGTTCTGAATTTGATTTCATCAAAGATGTTAATGGATTGTCTTGTGTGTATTGTTTAATTGTTCTTTCTTGATTATGACAAAAATATCCACATAAAAAAATCCATGTTTTGGGTGATATGCATAAGAATATTGCTACTTCCTATACATTGTATCACTATTTCTACTAAGAATCTGAAGATGGTTGATCCCACTGATGGTTCACAATATTTGTATACTCACATGTCAAACTGCAAGCATGTGATAAGGCCCATGTCTATAAGTTCAATACATCTTGGAATTTCAATATTTATATTACTTGTTAGGGATTGGTGTGCTATATAGGAGTGGTGCAATAAATTCCTGCACCTGTTTTGAATCGCTGGATGGGAAGACCACAATGGCATTGAATGATTTCATCTTCTTCAGTTATTAACTCTTCATTTTTCATGAGGCACTGTAAACGTCAATTAATGAATATTTGGCCCCATCTTTGGTATGTCTGAATTTGTTGACAAAATTGTATGTTGGGTTCTTACAGGGATGCAATTATGTCAGATTTGTATAATTTAAAGTATATAGAAGTCGGAAAGTCTGGTCCATAGCTTTTCATATACAATTTCTTCTTTTGTTATTTGCTTGTTCGGGTTACATTGGTGAAGATTATCTTGAATTGATTGCCCAATTTCTGTACTAAATTTATGAGATTGTAATTTTATGAGGTCATAGCTTTCCTTGACATTCAACAGTTCTTTTGCTTTTAGGGTGTGCACTATCTGTGATACCTGTTATTTAATACCCCTTTGTCTCCTAGAATTGCAGAGGCTAATTCTTTGGTGTTTTAAAACTCTTTCTTCTGCCTTAAGATGATTCTGTGTCCTTGTAGTCACAAGTACTCTCAATCCTTTTCCAATGTCCTCTCCCAAATGGATATATTGGAGGACATTTTTATTCTCCCTCAGCGAAATCTGGCTCATTTTTCAAACTCGGTTCTAGCTTATGGCTTCTTCCCTTGGTCCTTTCTACCAAAACTGGTCCTGTTTTGCTGTGTTGGAAGAACATACAAGCAGAGGCCCAAACCTGTTTGCATAATTTTCCCCAACATTCTGTGCATCTGGAAATAATAAAAGGACATATATAAGTTAAAGAAAGATAAGCCACTAAGATAACATATAGCTAACATACAGAACTGTAGAAAATAAACTTAATCTGGCAAAGGATGGATAACAAAAAAGGCTTATTTGTGCATCTTCAAAATAAACAGCAGATGATACGTACCAATAAATTTAATAAAGAAAAGAAATGTTATTCATTTATTCAGTCTTTTTCAAAGAAAGTACACATTCCACCAGATTAATTGTGAAGAGGAGGATGTTGAAGTGGCAGTATTAAAGTCTAACCCTAATTCAAATGAAATCTGAAATGAATATGTATCTTTAACTATCACACTTCCTAACTCAGTGATCCAATCTTTCTGGCACTAGGTTTTATGGGAGACAATTCTTCCACGGACTGGGGTGGGGTTTCATGCACAACCTAGATCCTGCAAAAGTGCACATGAAGCTTTGCTTGCTCACCCACCATTTTCACGAACTGGTCCTAATAGACCACAGACTGGTACCAGTCTGCAGCTTGGCGACTTGGACCCTTGTTCTAATTGATTCATGCAATAAAAATAAAACAACATACTGTATTTTTCGGATTATAAGACACACCAAGGTTTGAAGAGGCAAATTTAAAAAAAGTTTTTGCACTCTGCAAACCTCCAAAAACAGCCCATTTTTGTGAAAAACGGGCCCACTTTTTTTTTCTTCAAAAGGGCATGAATAGCCCTTAGGAGGCTTGTAGAATGCTCCTGGGGGGCTGGGAGGGGCCAAAAATGAGGGAAAAATGGTCAATTTTTCGCAAACACTGGCCCATTTTTTGTCAAAGCCTTAGGAGGCTTATAGAGTGCTCCTTGGGGCTGGGGCAGGACGGGCAAAATTGAGCAAAAAAACAGGCCATTTTTTGCTAATTTCTGCCCTCCCCAGCCCCCAGGGGCTCTCTGAAAGCCTTCTAAAAGCTATGAATCACCATTTTGGTGAAGGGGGCGGGGTTTTGGGAGGCAAAAAATGCTGTATTCAGTGTATAAGATGCGCCCAGATTTTCAGTGTCTTTTGAGGGGAAAAGGTGCATCTTATACTCCAAAAATATGGTAATCCCCTAAAAGTACTTAATTAATATGGTTATTGTGGTTTGTTGCACAGTCAGCTGAATGTTTAGACTGGATTTGACATTTTGATCTACCTATTTACTCCGTCCCAAGGACCTGAGATAGGCAGATGTTGCTGTTTGATATTGTTAAAGGTATCATCACATTACCTACACAGACATATAAAATCACAGCTGACAGTTTTTTAGCTGGTGTTGGCCTTCATTTGCAGCAAGTTCTTCCCAAGAACTGGATGTCATAATGTATTGGTGTAGTATACGTTTGGATCCTAACAATGTGGCCTTTTGTACCTGATCAATGGAATTTTCATAAATGTGCAGATGTGCTAAATTTATACATCCCACTTTGACACTTTAAAACATTAAAAGTTATTTTCAATAATTGGTTTCCTGAAAATCAGAAGAGGGAGCACTGCTAGATTTCCAGAGGAAGTCTTTTGATAGGGCTGGGATCATAACTGAGATCCCTGATCCCACCAAATCTCCCATGTTCCTTTTCTAATTCTTGTCTTTTCTTTAGTACATGTTAGCATTTGTTATCTTGGTCTAAATAGAAGATGGTATATATTTTGAAACAGAATTTATATCTCAGGTACTACTTAAAGCAGACATTCCAGTTCTGTAAATGCTATGTATCGTCACACAAGGCTCTATTGGTTAAAATCTCTATTTTGAACTGTATCTAGAAGTCTATCAGTAACAGGGAGTCAATGGAGATTCTCAGTTATCCAGGTTATGGTTCTCCCAAAGGTGCTTTTTCAAGAGGCAACTGGACTTTCTGATTTTTCTTTCCAGACGTTTCGCTTCTCAACCAAGAAGCTTCTTGATCTCTTTTTTGAAATGTCTTCAAAGAAAAACTAGAAAGTCCAGCTGCCTCTTGAAAAAGCATCTTTGTGACATTAATCAGGGAGAGTTGACAGCAATTGCACTATACACAAATAGTAGCTCCTACCAGCCAACAAGCAGGTTGCTGCTTTTTATATCAACTGCAACTTCTGGGTAATCCTATATAGAATGCATTTCAGTAATTTGTGATTTGACAAGAATGCGAGTTTCTGTAACCTGGGCCTCTTTTTTCAGGAACTCATTTTCTTTGGATGTGTTTCAATCTTCATGTCCAAAGGTAGTGAAGCAAAGCTTGCAGAAAAATTGATAAGACTAAAACTTGAAGTGGTTTGGAATGTACTGTTGAAATGAGAACTATTTTAGGAGATCTGGCTAATAGAAACAGTATTATCTCGGGACCATCTGCTGGTTCTTCTTACTCAAGAGCCACAAAGATAGTTGGGCTATTGAATGCTATCTACAACATGAACTGCAGAAAATTCAGCCAAATTTTTAACATTTTAAAAAAACCTTACAGCATCCATTGGAAATCAACTGATTTCATCTATTAAAGACTTGGTATAAGGTAGAATTATAAATAATAGAATTATTATAAAAACTGGATCCTTTTTCTCTATAAAGAATACTGATAGAAGTCTTTTCAATTTTAATAATTCAGTTACAGAACAAAGAAAACCAATAATCCGTTTGGTATTATTTTCAGTTAGCACATATCTTTATAAGTCTCAAAGATGCTTTTTCAAAAGACAATTGGACTGGTTTTTTTTTTCCTTGAAGAGGAAGAAGGTGACATTTTGCTTCTTATTCAAGAAGCTTCATCGATTCTGGCTGGATGGTGAGGGGTATGGAGGGATTAGAATGTGTGTGTGTGTGTCTGTGTGTGTGTGCATGTGTGTGTGTGTAAGAATCATATTTCTTTGCACTCATCTGGTCATTAGTACTCTTCCTGAAAGCTCTTGAGGCCACTTGGGGTTTTATCGGTGCTCTTAGGTCATCTGTATCAGAGTGCAAACAGGGGGTGGAATCTTCTTGGAACTTTTGAAAGGATTGTGTTGTAGACATCTGGTATCTTATCCTTCCCCCTTTATTGAGAGAGGGCTGCTTAATGGTAACATAAATGGCTCTTTTATCCCTCTTTCAAACCAATGGTACTCTCTAACCAGAATGTGGACTTTTCTGTCTTTAAAGGAGTGACCTTTGACTTTTATATAAATGGTTTTTTTGGGAGGGGCAATGATATTTTATTGATACTCAATAAAAATAAGAAATACTGTATATTTTTCAAAAAAATAAAAGCCCTTTATAGCTACAATTTTTAAGGCCACTCTAAAAGACTTCTTGACCTATTTTGTTTCTTTTAAAATATATATTGTTTCAGGTTGCACTTTTTATCGTTGTTTTTATAAAAATTAATTTGTTGACTTATCTAATTCAAAAGTCTTTGAAAAACAGTAGAAAAGCCTACTAATATTTGGAATATATAATTCTCTATTGTATAAAGAAATAATTTCTTTGAGATTATTTTTTCCTAAATCTTTATTTTTACTATATTGGAGGATAAAATATTCTGAATCTAAAAAAGAAAGTTGGCTACTTTAAAAATAGCTAGGGTGATCAGGTTTAATTAAGTACTATAAATTCCTTCTCTTAATTTCAATGTTAATGTTAACCCCCAGACAGTATCTACATTTTCATTCTCACCACCCACTCAAGTACCAAATGGAATTGATCAGAACCTTACAAGACAGGGTGGACAGTTTGCCAACAGTTAAGAGGGAAAAGAAAAAGAACTAAAATACACCACGAACTCAGAACTTGTAGCTATCTCAACTGGGCCTTCATCAAATCTAGAAAAAGAACCAGCAGGTTCTCCTCCATAACAGACGAAGACTAGGACAACAAGCAAAGCAATGTTGGCATTCCATACATTGCAGGAATTCTGAAAAGCTCAGGAGGATTTTCAATCAACACAACATACGTGCACACCTTAAACCCAAGAATACACAAAGGTAGAAGCTTGTCTACCCCATAAAACATCCAGTAACAGAGAATGTGATATGTGCAATGCAATGTGACGTGCAGATCTGTACATTGGTGAGACAAAAAAAAACCACTTCACAAACACATGGCACTACATAGGAGAGCAAATCCATCAGGACAAGATTCAGCAGTTCATCTGTATTTGAAAGACAAAGATTACTCTTTTGAAAACAGCGAAGTCCACATTCTGGATAGAGAGGACCATTGGTTTGAAAGAGGAGTAAAAGAGACCATTTATGTTACCATTGAGCAGCTCTTTCTCAAGAGGAGGAGGAATAAGACACTACCTATCCTGTTTACAACAGGATCCAAGAAGATTCTACCTCCTTTGCATTCTGATACAAGTGATCTGAGAGCATCAATAAACCCTCAAGTGGCCTCAAGAGCTCTCAGGGAGAGTGCTAAGACCAAGATGCCTGCAAAGAAATATGATTCTTCCAATCACCATCACCACCATCCTGCCAGAATTGATGCGACTTCTTGGATGAGAAGCAAAATGGCTTCCTCCTCCTCCAGTAAACAACAGTCCAGTTGCTTTTTGAAAAAGCATCTTTGAGACAATTATGACCTATATGACTGAGAATCTCCACAGACATCCTTTATAAGATTTAAAAGTAAAAGACTGAACTTTTAAAAAGTTTCTTTGACCAATTTTTCTGTGCCTGCTGACTTGTCACTTACTACTTAGTAAGATCAAGCAGAGTTGGTATCCTTTTCCTTCTTTTATCCTTGTAGAAAAAAGTCCAGAAGCCAGGAGATATCAACTGTGCTGTTCTTTGTTCCCTTGTTATGCATAAACAGAAGGCTGCTGGCTGAAACAATAAAAACGACAAAAGGGCTATATGAATATCACATGGATGCTACCATATTTAGTCTGCAAAAATTCAGAGGACCACCAGGTAGCTTCAAAGTGATAGAAGACATAAACCCTTTGCACTACTTAGTTGTATCCAGATTTCTGCTGCTCTACCAAATCATAACATAATAGAACACATATTCACAACAACCTAACTTCTT